TCATAACTTCAGTCATTAGTTGCATTAAATTGTTATACAAAAAGGATTTTATAAAACCAGAATAACAAAATAATATAGAATAAACTGTGAAAACACAAAGGAAACGTTTTGATGTTTAATTTATTCTGAGACTTTTACATTATATGCAATAGTTTCAACAAATTATACATTTTAAAAATAAATCTTTTAATATCAAAAGTTTACTTTGTGAAAATCCAAAGAATAACCTTAATATTTTTATTGTTGTGTTAACAGAGCTACAATCTGGTGAGTTTAATTTTTTGTGTTTGAACTTGTCTTATTCATAAATACATGTTAGCCAAAAACAAACAGTTATTGTTGGTTATTTAATTGCCCCTCTCTTTAGCTGAGAGTGCTGATGTTCTTAATCAATGGGGGCCTTTGTCACATTCTGCCCGAGGCCCCAAACAATGTTGGGCCGGCCCAGTAAAACGTGACATAAACGTTACTAAATTAATAATAATAAAGTGTAAAAACAGAGAATCAGCGCTGCAGTCCAATTCCTGGAGGACAGATGGAAACATGACATTTATTAAGGAGAGAAGAAAACAGGCTCATCTGATGACACAGCGGCGCCCCCACAGGCAGCTGGTGGTACTACAAGCTTTCTTTACGTTTTCCTCCAACGGGCCGTCATGGTCGGAATGGACAGAAACTGTTTGATCTGGAACAAAGTTTACATTTGGACTGTAAATCTTTTCCGAACCGGAACCAGAACCAGAATCATTGGATTACATTTAAGCCGGATGTGAAGCAAAAACCTGAGAGGAGAGAAAAACTGGATATAATGAATGACCAGGATCTCTCACACACACCCACTCAGGGAGATCAGTGTGTGTGTGTGTGTGTGTGTGTGTGTGTGTGTGTGTGTGTGTGTGTGTGTGTGTGTGTGTATACACACACAACGAGGGGTCTCTCCTCCTCCTGCTGACGTCAGCAGAATCTGAAACAATCCGGAGCTCTGCTGCATATTAACGCATGTTTTCCTGAGGTGATGCAGCGCTGCAGCAGAAACACACACACACACACGCATACACACACACACGCACGCACACACACACGCACACACAAAGGACACACACACACAGATCTCTCAGATCCGCCCTTCACACAGAAACTTAAAATAAATCATTTTTTATGTTTTTGAAAACAGATCAGACCTGTGAGCTGCGTGGATCTACGTGGGTCCAAACTCCGCACAGCCACGCAGCGACCAGGTGTGATGTCTGTTTGACCTTGTCTCCCGACTTTTACCGTTGGACCATCTGTCCAATCAGAAGCCTGCACACAGCTGGACAGACTCTCACCTCCTGCCCCACGTGTGACGATTGGGGCCATCAGTGACCTCTGCTGGTGAACAACGGGAACTGCAGGAACTTCTGCTTCCAGTTATTTTGTTATTTTCCTGTTTTTATTAAGTCTTGAACCATTTTTTATCCCTTTCTGTCTGGTCTGATCAGTTCTTCTCCCGATTCACTGAAAACTAAACTAAGAAGATAAAAGAGTTACTTGTATTTATTTTTCTGATGGATTCATTTTGTTTAACCAGCCAACACCGCCCTCTGGTGGTGAGGAGATGTATCTGCAGGAGTCTTCTTGGCTCATGTTTTAAAACCCAACGGAGTTTTTCTATTTTTTCCTCATTAAACATTTATAAACGTTAAGAGGTTCATTAGGAATCTTGTTCACATTGTGAAACACAAACTGAATCTCTAGATTTATGAAGAAGCTGATTATGATCCATGAAACTGATGAACCACATTAAAATGACACATTTTGTAAGATAACCTCAATAATATGTCTGCCTCAAAATGTTCTCCTGTTTTCTCTGATGAACATCTGAGAAGATCACTTAGCTCTGGACTTTGACTAGGCCGTTCCAACCCATTCTAGAGCAGAACGTCTCTGGTTGGATGTTCAGGCTGGAAGCTGAACTTTGACCCCAGGGTCAGCTCTTCTGCAGGTTTTCCTCCAGGTCTTTGTTCCATCAGCATGATGCTGCCACCACTATGTTCACTAACAGAACCTACAGGCTGTTTACCAGAGGCTCTTGGTTTCTGATCAACTTCACTTTTTGACGTCAGTCTGATAAATTATGAGCAAAGAATCAGTTTGTGTTTCTGTTCAGGTTTTATTTCAATGTTCATGAATGAACTGGTTGAGTTTCCCTTTAAACCAGTTTGCTTATCAATCTGAAACATAAAACCTGAAGCTTTGATCTGTCGGATGGTTTAATCTGACTTTTGTAGAAAACAGGAAGGATCAGCGGCGAGTCGGACCCGACCGAACCGAACTGAACGGAGGAAACGAAGCTGGAACTTTTACTGAGTCAGCAGATTTGAATTCTGTAGAAATCTGCAGCTTCTCTAAACATGACCAGAGAGAAACGGGTCACTGCGACCCGAGAACATTCTGGAGGAACAACTGGACCGAGACGTTTAATATCCGCTTTCATAAATCCATTATTTTCATTATTAATGTTCCTGGCTTTGGTAAATAAAACTGATTTTATTTACCAATCTGAGGTTCTCAGCAGTTTTCAGCCAAATAAAAAAATAAACTATTTGATAAATGTGAAACATCCTGACCCCCCTGCAGTATCTCTGTCCCCCGAATGGCTCACGACCCCCATGTTGAAGACCTCTGACCAAAATGATTGAAATATTTGAACCCAAAACCTTCTTGGTGCAAAAACATAAAACTTCAAGTTTTACTTCATGTAGATTCTGAAGATCAGAGAGCAGAAAATCAAAACTTTTCATCAAGAAATAGGGAGCTTTTTAAAAGCCAATCATCTGAAATATTGATAAAAATACTTTTCTCCATTAATAACATGAAATTTTCTACCAGTGAACAAATCTGCCAGTGGAATTAGGATTTTTTATTCAAGAAGTTTTCCTGTAAGGTCGTCTTGTTTTATTAAGAGACAAGATAAAAAAAATACTTGGTTTTTGCAGCATAATAAATAAAGTCATTCATTATTAATATTTGTTTCTGGCTCTCTGAACCTTTCAGTGCAGCTGTTTTTTATTTTCAATCCATAAAATAAATCCTAAAATCCAACATGGCAGCCACGTGAAAACATGAATTCATCCTGAAACGTTTCATTTGCTTCAAAGCTTCAGTAAAAAATCGGCTCCAGTTTGTTTTAATGATTTAATAAGAAATATTATTTATTAATGTTATAAAACAAATAAATTATCAAAGTTAAACACATTTAAATTGGCTCAAAATTATTTAATTTCAGACTTTCTGTAGAAAAGTAATTAACTTATTTCTAAATATTTTATTTATTGTGTAAATCCTGTAATTTTGCAGAGTTTGTGTAAAACGCTGATGAAAACGCAGCGAAGGTCAAGGTCAAGGTCAAGGTCACCTTCAGTATGACAGACTTCCTGTTTATGAGGATTTTCCTCTAGTGATGCCAGAAATTCATTCATTTAAATTAAAACCAAAAGTGAACAAAATTCCAACAATCACTGAAATTCCTTGGAGGTAAAAACTGATGACTTTAATCAAAGTGTCGTTGGTTTTAGGCTCTCCGGTCCTCAGAAGGACAGGAAACTCTGGAGCGACTCGATGAAAACAGGAAGTGGAGACAGTGAATAAAAAGTGATGCTGCGCCGATGGATCAGAACCGGGTCGGGCCGACGCCTCTCCGTCTGGACGGTGAGTCGATTTAAGCAGCAACACCATTCAGAGCAGAAACTCAGAAAGATGGAAAAACTTTACTGAAATACTTTTATTTTATTCTAATGATTCAACGTTTTATTGATCAGTTCTGTTCATCTGGAGGAGGAAATGTGAGTCTGGAAAACAAACTGAAATATAAAAGCTGAAGATTTAAAATTGTATTTTGTTTTATTTAAACATAAAAATATGATTTTATTAGTTGTTCTGGACAGAAACAGTGAGTTATTGTTCAGATCAGAGGTGAAAGTTTAATTCACGAAGAAATAATAAATCACTTAATGAGATTTTATTGATACAAACAAATGTATTTCATAAACATTTCCACTTCAAATAACTAAACAATTGAATAAAATCTAATGAATGTTCAACTCAATAAATGAGGGAAAATCAGATTTAAATATAAAAATATGTTTGCAACATTCAAGACAGCTAAGAAAATATTTAAGAAATTATAAGAAACCTTTAAATTATATTTCATTTACATAATGGAGTTTATTACATTGTTTTTCATTCAAATTGTTCATCTTGGAGTCTGATAATGTCACAAACCTTTAAACTTCCTGTACGGCTCTAATCTACTTCCTGTCATTGATGTCAGGAGGAGTTTCTGTCCATCAGAGCGCAGCGTTCAGAGGGACACGCCCACTCCAAAATTCCTTTGCATCATCTTCTACTTTGTAACATTTCAATTAAAACTGGAACCAAAAGCAGAAAAACTCATTCTGGGCTGACTCAGCGTTTCTGCTAGCTCGTTCTTTGCTAGCTCGTTCTCTGCTAACTCGTTTTCTGCTAGCTCGTTTTCTGCTAGCTCGTTCTCTGGTAGCTCGTTCTCTGCTAGCTCGTTCTCTGCTAGCTCGTTCTCTGCTAGCTCGTTCTCTGCTAGCTCGTTTTCTGCTAGCTCGTTCTCTGCTAGCTCATTCTCTGCTAGCTCATTTTCTGCTAGCTCGTTCTCTGCAAACGAGCTAGCAGAGAACGAGCTAGCTGGTCTGGTTTTCGGTTTTTAGGTTGCATCTGTTTCCACATTCAGACGAAGGATAATAAAAAGTCTTTATGTTTCATAATATCTCAGATCTTTCCTTTCTTTTAGGCTTTTTTATTGGACGCGATTTCACACGAAGATTTTCCACAATGAAAAAAAGTTTTCGCTACGCGAGTCGGGTAAACATCCCGACATTATCAATATTATCAAAGCGCATCAGTTGAGCAACATGCAGTGTTTCTCTTTTAGGTGCCGAATAAAAACCTTCTCACTGATTACGATGATTTCCGGGAGTTCCAGCCGTTCCATGGTGGTGGTGAACTTCGGGAAGCGTTCTGGTTCCGCCTGGGCCGGTCAGGTCGTTGCAGCTAAAGACACGGTGGTTTCCCTCGGCGTCACGCCGAGCTCCAAGGCCATCGTGGGCTTGTACCGCATGTACGTGGCCGAGAAGGACCCCAACACCAACTTTACCTGCTGTTCAACCCCTGGAACCAGGTACAGCGAAGTAATGAGCTTCCTGTGGGAGTTTCCTGTTTCCAAAGGTCAAAAGGTCTGACAGCAAACACGAAGACAAGAGTTCATTTATTTTCATTTTTCTCTTTTCTTTTTCTATTTACCACAATTATTTGAGAGATCGTCTTGTTTTCTGAGAAAGTCGCTGAACATTTGCGTGGCGTTTGATTGGGCCAGAGTGAGTGGGTTCTGTTGCAGAGGATGATGTTTTCTACCCGGATGACGCCGGACGCTCTGAGTACGTCCTGAACTCCACCGGTCTGATTTACATGGGCACCTCTGAGCAAGTGACGCAGTGAGGCTGGGTTTACGGACAGGTGAGGTCCGACGGGCCGCAGATCCCAGCGAATCTGCCCTTAACATTCAGAGCTTGTCGTCGCAGTTTGAGGAAGGCGTCCTGGACGCCTGTATTTACATCATGGACGCCTGCAGGATGCCGATCCATAACCGCGGCGACGTGGTCAAAATGGTTCGTACTGCATCTGCTCTGGTGAGACCATCCAGTTTATTTATCCACAAAACAAGAAGCAAATTTAGATTTTGTTGGTTTTCTGTCTCAACCTGTAAACTAAAGCTTTTTTCCTGACCTTTGACCTCCAGATCAACTCCCAGGACGACAACGGAGTGTTGATCGGGAACTGGAGCGACGACTTCTCCATGGGAACGCCGCCAACGACCTGGACGGGAAGCGTCAGCATCCTGCAGAAGTACCACAACTCCGGAGCGCCGGTGTCATTTGCTCAGTGCTGGGTGTACGCCGGCGTCCTGAACACCTGTAAGACGCACTGTAAAACTACAGCAGCACTGTAAAACTACAGCAACACTGTAAAAACTACAGCAGCACTGTAAAACTACAGCAGCACTGTAAAACTAAAGCAGCACTGTAAAACTACAGCAGCACTGTAAAACTAAAGCAACACTGTAAAACTAAAGCAACACTGTAAAACTACAGCACCGCACTGTAAAACTACAGCCACACTGTAAAACTACAGCAGCACTGTAAAACTACAGCAGCACTGTAAAACTACAGCAGCACTGTAAAACTAAAGCAACACTGTAAAACTAAAGCAACACTGTAAAACTACAGCACCGCACTGTAAAACAACAGCCACACTGTAAAACTACAGCAGCACTGTAAAACTACAGCAACACTGTAAAACTACAGCACCACACTGTAAAACTACAGCCACACCGTAAAACTACAGCAACACTGTAAAACTACAGCACCGCACTGTAAAACTACAGCCACATTGTAAAACTACAGCAGCACTGTAAAACTACAGCAACACTGTAAAACTACAGCAACACTGTAAAACTACAGCAGCACTGTAAAACTACAGCAGCACTGTAAAACTACAGCAACACTGTAAAACTACAGCACCGCACTGTAAAACTACAGCCACACTGTAAAACTACAGCAGCACTGTAAAACTACAGCAGCACTGTAAAACTACAGCAACACTGTAAAACTACAGCAGCACTGTAAAACTACAGCAGCACTGTAAAACTACAGCAACACTGTAAAACTACAGCAGCACTGTAAAACTACAGCAACACTGTAAAACTACAGCAACACTGTAAACTACAGCAGCACTGTAAAACTACAGCAACACTGTAAAACTACAGCAGCACTGTAAAACTACAGCAGCACTGTAAAAACTAAAGCAGCACTGTAAAACTACAGCAGCACTGTAAAAACTAAAGCAACACTGTAAAACTAAAGCAACACTGTAAAACTACAGCACCGCACTGTAAAACTACAGCCACACTGTAAAACTACAGCAGCACTGTAAAACTACAGCACTGTAAAACTACAGCAGCACTGTAAAACTAAAGCAACACTGTAAAACTAAAGCAACACTGTAAAACTACAGCACCGCACTGTAAAACAACAGCCACACTGTAAAACTACAGCAGCACTGTAAAACTACAGCAGCACTGTAAAACTACAGCAACACTGTAAAACTACAGCAGCACTGTAAAACTAAAGCAACACTGTAAAACTACAGCACCGCACTGTAAAACTACAGCCACACTGTAAAACTACAGCAGCACTGTAAAACTACAGCAACACTGTAAAACTACAGCAGCACTGTAAAACTACAGCAGCACTGTAAAAACTACAGCAGCACTGTAAAACTAAAGCAACACTGTAAAACTACAGCACCGCACTGTAAAACTACAGCCACACTGTAAAACTACAGCAGCACTGTAAAACTACAGCAGCACTGTAAAACTACAGCAACACTGTAAAACTACAGCAGCACTGTAAAACTAAAGCAACACTGTAAAACTACAGCAGCACTGTAAAACTACAGCAACACTGTAAAACTACAGCAACACTGTAAAACTACAGCAGCACTGTAAAACTACAGCAACACTGTAAAACTACAGCAGCACTGTAAAACTACAGCCACACTGTAAAACTACAGCAACACTGTAAAACTACAGCACCGCACTGTAAAACTACAGCCACACCGTAAAACTACAGCAACACTGTAAAACTACAGCAACACTGTAAAACTACAGCAGCACTGTAAACTACAGCAGCACTGTAAACTACAGCAGCACTGTAAAACTAAAGCAACACTGTAAAACTACAGCACCGCACTGTAAAACTACAGCCACACTGTAAAACTACAGCAGCACTGTAAAACTACAGCAGCACTGTAAAACTACAGCAACACTGTAAAACTACAGCAGCACTGTAAAACTACAGCAGCACTGTAAAACTACAGCAACACTGTAAAACTACAGCAGCACTGTAAAACTACAGCAACACTGTAAAACTACAGCAACACTGTAAAACTACAGCAGCACTGTAAAACTACAGCAACACTGTAAAACTACAGCAGCACTGTAAAACTACAGCAGCACTGTAAAACTAAAGCAGCACTGTAAAACTACAGCAGCACTGTAAAACTAAAGCAACACTGTAAAACTAAGCAACACTGTAAAACTACAGCACCGCACTGTAAAACTACAGCCACACTGTAAAACTACAGCAGCACTGTAAAACTACAGCAGCACTGTAAACTACAGCAGCACTGTAAAAAATAAAGCAACACTGTAAAACTAAAGCAACACTGTAAAACTACAGCACCGCACTGTAAAACAACAGCCACACTGTAAAACTACAGCAGCACTGTAAAACTACAGCAGCACTGTAAAACTACAGCAACACTGTAAAACTACAGCAGCACTGTAAAACTAAAGCAACACTGTAAAACTACAGCACCGCACTGTAAAAACTACAGCCACACTGTAAAACTACAGCAGCACTGTAAAACTACAGCAACACTGTAAAACTACAGCAGCACTGTAAAACTACAGCAGCACTGTAAAACTAAAGCAACACTGTAAAACTACAGCACCGCACTGTAAAACTACAGCCACACTGTAAAACTACAGCAGCACTGTAAAACTACAGCAGCACTGTAAAACTACAGCAACACTGTAAAACTACAGCAGCACTGTAAAACTAAAGCAACACTGTAAAACTACAGCAGCACTGTAAAACTACAGCAACACTGTAAAACTACAGCAACACTGTAAAACTACAGCAGCACTGTAAAACTACAGCAACACTGTAAAACTACAGCAGCACTGTAAAACTACAGCAGCACTGTAAAACTAAGCAGCACTGTAAAAACTACAGCAGCACTGTAAACTAAAGCAACACTGTAAAACTAAAGCAACACTGTAAAACTACAGCAACACTGTAAACTACAGCACACTGTAAAACTACAGCAGCACTGTAAAACTACAGCAGCACTGTAAAACTACAGCAGCTGTAAAACTAAAGCAACACTGTAAAACTAAGCAACACTGTAAAACTACAGCACCGCACTGTAAAACAACAGCCACACTGTAAAACTACAGCAGCACTGTAAAACTACAGCAGCACTGTAAAACTACAGCAGCACTGTAAAACTACAGCAGCACTGTAAAACTAAAGCAACACTGTAAAACTACAGCACCGCACTGTAAAACTACAGCAACACTGTAAAACTACCAGCACTGTAAAAACTACAGCAGCACTGTAAAACTACAGCAACACTGTAAAAACTACAGCAGCACTGTAAAACTAAAGCAAACACTGTAAAAACTACAGCAGCACTGTAAAACTACAGCAACACTGTAAAACTACAGCAACACTGTAAAACTACAGCAGCACTGTAAAACTACAGCAACACTGTAAAACTACAGCAGCACTGTAAAACTACAGCAGCACTGTAAACTAAAGCAGCACTGTAAAACTACAGCAGCACTGTAAAACTAAAGCAACACTGTAAAACTAAAGCACAACTGTAAAACTACAGCACCGCACTGTAAAACTACAGCCACACTGTAAAACTACAGCAGCACTGTAAAACTACAGCAGCACTGTAAAACTACAGCAGCACTGTAAAACTAAAGCAACACTGTAAAACTAAAGCAACACTGTAAAACTACAGCACCGCACTGTAAAACAACAGCACACTGTAAAACTACAGCAGCACTGTAAAACTACAGCAGCACTGTAAAACTACAGCAACACTGTAAAACTACAGCAGCACTGTAAAACTAAAGCACACTGTAAAACTACAGCACCGCACTGTAAAACTACAGCCACACTGTAAAACTACAGCAGCACTGTAAAACTACAGCAACACTGTAAAACTACAGCAGCACGTAAAACTACAGCAGCACTGTAAAACTACAGCAGCACTGTAAAACTAAAGCAACACTGTAAGACTACAGCACCGCACTGTAAAAACTACAGCAGCACTGTAAAACTACAGCAGCACTGTAAAACTAAAGCAACACTGTAAAACTACAGCACACTGTAAAACTACAGCAGCATTGTAAAACTACAGCAGCACTGTAAAACTACAGCAGCACTGTAAAACTAAAGCAACACTGTAAAACTACAGCACCGCACTGTAAAACTACAGCAGCACTGTAAAACTACAGCAACACTGTAAAACTACAGCACCGCAGAAAAACTACAGCAACACTGTAAAACTACAGCAACACTGTAAAACTACAGCAGCACTGTAAAACTACAGCAACACTGTAAAACTACAGCACCGCACTGTAAAACTACAGCCACACTGTAAAACTACAGCAGCACTGTAAAACTACAGCAGCACTGTAAAACTACAGCAACACTGTAAAAACTACAGCACCGCAGAAAAACTACAGCAACACTGTAAAACTACAGCAACACTGTAAAACTACAGCAACATTGTAAAACTACAGCACCGCAGAAAAACTACAGCCACACTGTAAAACTACAGCAGCACTTTAAAAACTACAGCACACTGTAAAACTACAGCAGCACTGTAAAACTACAGCAACATTGTAAAACTACAGCAACACTGTAAAACTACAGCAACACTGTAAAACTACAGCAACACTGTAAAACTACAGCAGCACTGTAAAACTACAGCAACACACTGTAAAACTACAGCAACACTGTAAAACTACAGCAACACTGTAAAACTACAGCAGCACTGTAAAACTACAGCAACACTGTAAAACTACAGCAGCACTGTAAAACTACAGCAGCACTGTAAAACTAAAGCAGCACTGTAAAACTACAGCAGCACTGTAAAACTAAAGCAACACTGTAAAACTAAAGCAACACTGTAAAACTACAGCACCGCACTGTAAAAACTACAGCCACACTGTAAAAACTACAGCGCACTGTAAAACTACAGCAGCACTGTAAAACTACAGCAGCACTGTAAAACTAAAGCAACACTGTAAAACTAAAGCAACACTGTAAAA